CCTCCTTGGTCCTCACTCCCTCTGTCTCCACCGTGCCCTTCTGTTTCCCCGCCTGCACCTCACCTGCCAGAGCCGGCAGCTTCGCCATGTCCCGCCAGATCCTCGGCTCTCCGGCTCCACCCTGGTCTGTTTCCCCATGTATTTAAGCCCTGTTTTGCCTGGTCATCGTCCGGTCTCCGTTGTATTTAGTGTGTGTGTACCTTCTGCCTGTCTGTACCAGTTTAAGTTATATTGTTGTAAGTAAACGCCTTGCTTTGGAACTTTGGACACCTCATCTCCTTTTGCCTGCACCACCCCCCGACAAGTATGCTGGATGACCTCAGAATTTCAGCTTAATTCAAAAAGACTATTGAATAGAAAAAAAACATGTCATCTGTAATAAATACAATAAATGGCCTGTCACACTGTATGCCATTTTAGGGTGTAGCCTAGAATATTTGGTAACGCTTCCTTTTACAGTACAGTACTTACGTGTACTTACCTAGAAAGTACTGGCTAATATAAGGTAAGTACATGGGTTAGAGTTAGGTTTAGTGGTAGGTTCAGGGTTAGTACCTAGTTATTACCCAGTAATTGTAATTACTATAATAAGTACCTAGTATGTACATGGGTAACAGGACTGTAAAGGAAAGCGTTACCGGATATTTTTATATACTTAACTATTAACTAACAGTTGTTAGCACCATTAAATACTTTAATATTTAGATTTTGTTTTGTTCTGTTAAATTTTATGATGAAATATCAACCACCCAGGTGTTTAATAATCTGTTCAGTAACTGTGATATGAGACTTGCTATTTAGCAGCTGCTCCTCATTTATGATAATGAAAGTGCATGTTACTCAGGACCTTTTATTCATGTCATCCACAATATTGAAATAAGTCAAGGTAAGTGATAATGGATTCAAGTTAAACACACACACACAGCTCATACAAAGCAATACAGATGGTCAAAGATTTCTGCATTAAAAGTGTTTTTATGAAACCTCGCTAAAAAAGTATTAGCTGAAAAACTTTGAAGTGCATTCTTGCATTCACATTTTTGTCACAAGCACACACTCGTCTTCTTTGGTCTCAGAGAACAGCCAGATAAATATGACCAAGGCTAGTGCATTTCGCTCGTATCACAGACGGGTAGTGTTAGACCACAGGACACAACACATTATTTCCATGGTAGAAATTTAAAAAAAGACAGGTTACCACGTTTCACCAACACAATTATAAATATCATGAGCTGTTTTTGTTTAAATGTACAATACATGCTGTTAGTACAGAGCAAAATGCTGATATAGAGAAGTTTTGCGTAAAATGGCTTTTTAAACTTGTCTTTAGGAATCAGATGTGTGATGACTTCTTTATTTGAGCAGCAGTACAACACCTGATTTTCACTGCACTTCCTGTATGCGTGCGTGTTTTACGAACAAAGCATTCCAGTCTGCTTGAACCATGGCACTCTTCTGGCTGACACACAAACTAATGTAAATAACATGGTCTGGTCTCGTCGTGGCTGGATGTGAGGTCGGCCACATCACTGAGGCAGGGATTAGCTCACTGTGATTTATGTAACTAATGTCTGTGTCACCAGTGTCAGCGCTTGTCATCTGACTCGAAAGATAATTAAGCACATTAATCACCAAAAACCACAACTCAGATCAAATTGTCAAGAATTAAAGTGATCTACACTAGCCTGGTTAAAACCAGACCATTCCAAAACCAGTTGTAACTGTTAATATAAATTTGCCGGAAGTGGTCTGGGTTTTCCCAGGCTAGATCTACACCCATTGATCTTCTCAAATGGTCTACCGTTTTGTGTAAAGCTCACATCTAGTTGAAGAGTAATCAAATTATGCTACACTATTGTTCAAGAGATTGAGGTCAAGATTAAAATTGTTTTAAATAGGGATAGGATTTTTTTTCCCCGATACAAATATTTTTTTTATCATGTTTTGAATGAGCAAAGTTCAAAAGCGCATACATTAAGTAAGGAATAATTGACGACAGGCCATTGAATTATTAGAAAAATAATGCACACCCGAGGTGGTAATGCGGTCACGACGCGAAGCGGAGTGGCCGTTACACCTCGGGTGTGCATTATTTTTCTAATAATTCAACGGCCTGAAGTCAATTATTCCGCTTATACTACAGTTACCACACCTCGAAACATTGTTCAGATGATACATGTCAAGACGTTTGTCAAGTTTTTGCCATTAAAACGCTCTTGAATGTAGGACTAATTTTTTACGCATCTAATCCCATGCCTCCATTGCTAATTCCAAAACGTAATTTTAGAGTTAGTAAAGGTGGTTTGAGCCACTGATAGCAGACTAATGATGGGGACACACTTACGACTTGCTGAAACATTAGAAGACTGACTGTTTCCATCGAATGTAGCAGGTCTTAAACACAGACTGAACGCGCTGAACACGGGTTTGGGCATGATCTGTCATATTGTCATAAGTATCAAATTACATTCATAACTGGCCTTAGAGTAAGTGTGTCCCTGGCTTTATGCAGTTATTAATGCAGTTATTAGAGAGAGAATTTGCAATAATGAGACAGAAAAGCATATGCGTCAATATTATTATTTATTTATTTATTCAATTCGTTTTAATTCATTCGTTCATTCTCGTTTTCTATTATTGACAGTAGATAACCCAGTAAATGAAACACACAAAGCCCTTTTAACAAGTAGGCCTGTCAATAATTATTTATTTGTTATATTATCTGGAATAATTACGAAAACCCGTGCTGCAGGACTATCAATTTATTTGAGATATTCAGTTTAATTTTCTATTTATTATAGATAGGACTATATACTTTATTTATTTATTAAAATTACACTGCATGTGTCCATTGATTGTGAAGTTATACATCGAAAATTGCAGATCAAGTGCATGGGGCTGCATGTTTTTTCTTGTTATGAATTGTATGCTATTTATTTTCCGTTATTACGGTTAACTACGCGCAGTGATATGGAACTGTAATGCGGTCAAACCTGCCTGAAACTACTTTAGCCGTGCGTTTCCCTGCAAATAATTGCACACCTTAGAACGTTCTCAACCAATCAGAATCAAGCATTCAACATCCCTGTAGTATAAGGTATCCTAGTTAGTTTATTGCAGCATCATGAAAACATTTCTATAGAACATGGAATGTTCCATTTAACATTCAACAGGCATACATAAATACAACAGAACAAAAATGTATATGAAATAAACAGTGCTTTTAAGGTAGGTCTAACAATAGTTTTCAGGTACATAAATGTAAAAAAAAAATATTCTTGACTGTATAAATTAAATATAAATTAATCCTTATTAAAGTTACAAAAGTTATTGGTTCAGGTTAAGAGTAGTGAGTGATTATTTGGACTTTTGTTGATTGATTAACTTTAAAACATACAGCAGCGCAGCAGGTATTTCAGGCTGCAGTCACTTTACGAGCTGCACGGATCCAATTTACTGATACACAAGCGTTTTATTTCTCAACTGTTTACGCTCATTTAAGACGTAACTAACTATGTTTAAAAGGATACTCCGTGTGTGTGTGTGCTTTGGATGTGTGAGCACACAAACATTATCATGCAGTGAGTAAAATTTAGTTATCTTTTGTGTCTTCTTGCGCTTGAATATTTAAATTTGCAAGGTTTAAAAACATGAGCAAAGGATAAACTTTCGTGACGATGCGGCACTGGCCCGATAGGAACCATAGTTCTGTCGATTGTCCTGAGCGTCGGTCACGCTGGCCACGGCCAGTCCTTATCTGCCCTGGCTTTTCTATTTTAATATATTTAAAAATGTAAATTATTCCTGCGATTGCAAAGCTGAATTTCCAGCATCATTACTCCAGTCTTCAGTGTCACATGATCCTTCATAAATCATTCTAATATGCTGATTTGCTGCTCAATAAACATTTCTGTTTTCAATGTTGAAAATGGTTGTGCTGCTTATAATGTTTGTGAAAACCACAATATATTTTTTAGGCTTCTTTGATGAATGGCACGTTTAAAAACAGCATTTATTTGAAATAATTTTTGCAACATATGTCCTTATTGTCACTTTTGATCACTTTTATGTGTCATTGCTAAATAAAGGTATAAAAAATATTGTACTGTCCTCAAATTTTTTGAATGGTAGTGTAGACAGCAGCAAAAATGCACTTCAGCTTCTCTGGTTCAATTTCAGACAAAAAAAAAATCAAAATTTAAATCACACCACTGCAAATCCACTGACGGTACTTGTGACGGTACTACAATACAGCGATGGTATCAGATGATAAAACAATGGTATTTTGATATCTACCCTTGTAGTGAATGATACCCGTGCTCATATACCATGGTATTCCACATAAACATGTCTAAAATGTCTAAAAAATAAAATCTGCAACCATAGAATTCAGGAGAAAGTGACACAGATCTCTGCAGAAGTTCACTTACTTTAATAATTTCATGAATTATTTAGGTTTGTTCATTATAGGCTGGTACACTTAGCTTTGTTTAATGCATTTTATCATGCTCAAATCCACCCCTCCCCCATTCATAAAAATTAATTTAAAAAAATCAATGGAGAACAGTGTTGATATTAACTATAAATAAAACTATTAAAGTCATTTTCAATAACTGAAATAAAAGCTTAAATAAAATAAAATATAAATATTAGATCAAACTTTTTTTTTTTTTTTTTTAAAGCTTTGGCAAATAATTACGAACACTTAAACTGAAATAAAAATAAATTCAAGCTAAATAGAAATAGAAAAAAAAAAAACTAATAGAAATGACCACACTAAACCTAAACAAAATTACTAAAAATTAAACTAAAATTAGAAACATAATAATAAAAGCTAATTCAAAATATCAATAAATAATATAATAGTATATAAATAATACTAACACTGGTGCAGAAATGACTGAAGATTCTGTCTGGTCCTAGTGAAGTGACGGGTAATATGATGAGACATATCATTGCTCGTAGAGGGTCCGACTCCGGACTAAAAGAAGCTGACTTACTGTCTTTTTGAGCCGCAGGGCTGGTTGATGGGCCAGCAGTTGTTCGTCCCACTGGACTGGAGTGTTTAGGACCCCTGCCAGGGATCTTCAAGCCACTGGACTTCAGCATGTTCATTATGTCCACTGGAGAAACTTCAAGTTTCGCAGCTTATTAAGGGTTTTCTTTATATAATCGAGGCACTAAATGTGAGGATGGCGGATATCCTTCTCCATTCTACCTGTGGGACTGAAAACAACCATAATGAGCATTCAACACAAACAGTGAGGCTAAGGCCAATACACAGATCCTATTGACTGGGTGCAATTTGCTAAATGAATGGCCTTGCATAGCCCATGTCAGTTCATTAACAAGGATACTAGCTGAGCCACAGCATCAATAATGTGATGCTTCAGGGGCAAAGGAGGACACACAAAAAACACATTTTATTGTTTGAATGAAGCTTGTAACAATGTAATCGACACTGACAGACTGTAAACGAGTTGTTTTCGCTAATGCAATATTTTCTAAGTGATAAATCAGTACTCTAGCAAGGTCACTCTAGCATATCTGTGAAATGAAACCCATTATCCAGTGAGGTCGGCAGTTTCGACATGCTGTCACCACCGCTGCCTTCCAAACCCAGAATTAACTCCGTTAAAAACTCAGTACGTGAATTCCACTTAAAAACAGAGATTAATACAGCATAAACCGTATAATGTATCCTAAAAGAGACGGAAGTTTATTGTGCTAGCTCATTTCTCCGCCGTAGACTCTGCTGCTCTATTGTTTTGGCTCTTCACTGCGGCGCGCTCGCGACCCTCTTCACACGCCCCTGTCAAGCAACACAAACGAGACCCGTTCTCACAAACACCACTATTACCTTATGAAGTCCAAATCCTGTGAATTAAAATGAAGTCGGTGCCGGCGAACTTCAGATGAATCTGTGCAGGGAATCAGGGATGGCTCAGTCGGCTTCCCGGCATGAGATTTGTCAGCGTCTGCCACTCCCTTCGATCCGCTCTCTCTCTCTCTTTCTCTCTCTCTCTCCCACACGGATGCGAAAAATATGGATGCTGAGCTAAAGCTGGCAGTGGCTGGGAGTGGGACAGGATGCGAGGTTCACAGGCACCGGCACATTTTAGGAAAGCTCTTTTACACAAATGCCGAGAAATCTCCTGAAAGTGTGTCAGTGGTGAGCAAATGGTTCTTGAATAGAATAGATGAGGCTCATTAAGCAGGAGGGGTAAAAGCCTTCAGGCAGGGGGGGCCGTTTAGATATGTCCGATTCGCGAATCGTTCATTTGAGTCGAATCTTTTCAATGAATTGGTTGAACAAAACCGGTCTTTTCGGACATTTTTTCCGAATTCGACTGATGAGCGAAATAATTTATAGTAGCGATCACAAATATGTTCACGACTTCTGTATGTTTTTTTTTTCAACACAAATGCGACCCAGGGCTGTAAATAAAATAAAATGTAATTACAACGAGCAAAAATCAAGACATGTAAATTATTAGAGTTGTTTAATGTAAATTCTATTTAAGTTGTCACCATTTTTTTATAAACTGAATCTTGGCTGCAACAAATTCCGGAAACTAAAAAAAAAAAAAAAAAAAAAAAAAAAACAGGTCCAGCTGCTGTGGGATTTATGCATTTCCGGTCATGAATTAAATGAATGATAAAGACCAAAACTGCCCACAACACAGGCACATTATATTGAGATTTTTTTTTTAATGATTTTTTAAAAAGATTATATTAAATAGGCCTATTACATGTGCTGTTTTATGATTTTTTTTATTGCAAGAAAATAAACAGCACTGCATTGAAATACAATAACATAAAAGGAAAAGGGAGAAAGAAGAAACAACATCACCTCAATCAGTCAGAAAAATATCATAGATAATATAAATATAAAAAAACCGAGAAATCTCAGCAAGAAAGACATCAAATAAAAAAAATATAGAATATATATATATATATATATATATATATATATATATATATACTGTATATATATATATATTTGTTTTTTGCAACCCTGAAATGAAACCAGTCTCAATAGCCTACATCTAAATAGCTACAGTTAAAGTATGTGTGTGATACATAAAAACCATTAACATTAAAACTATTCTAAAAACAGATTTTTACTTTTGAAAGAGGTTAAGGTTTTCAAGAGTCCCACGGATATTCCTCAATGTTAAAAGAGGATATATTTACATGCATTTAGCAGACACTTTTATTCAAAGCAACTTACAAAAGAGGAACACAAGCAATTTGTCAAAGAACAAAAAAAGGCGAGAGATGTTTTAATTTTCATGCCGTTTTTATTGATTGCTGCATGAGCACACTTCATGTTCTTGATCACGAGGAAAATAAAACAGGCTTAAATGGCTTCAAAATATGTGAGGAAAAGGTCAAAAAAGTAGAACAAGATGAAGATCCAGCAATATAACCAAATCCATTTCAGGAGGAAAAAAATCATCAGCTGGTTAGTTATTCAATTTCATCATAATCAAACATTCTTGCATGCTATTCCCATTTCAAAATAAGCATCATGTCTGATACACAACAGAACACAGAGCTACTAAATAAATTCCTCCAACCAGACCCTCCTCTTTAGCATGTGAAATAATAGGGCCTGTCTTTAATAGTACAGAAGGGAGTGAAACACAATAATGTGTTTCCATCAAAAGAAAACACAGGGAGAGGAAAACAGACTGAGAGAGGTGGAGAAAGAAAGAGAAAATAACAGAGCGCTGGTCATGTTTCAAACGACTACTGAAGGGAAACAGGAAGCACATTCTTTCTTGTAAACATAAGGCACCACTTTAACTGACTCATTACAAGCTGTAAATGCAAAATTCTCAAAACATCAGTCTCAAACTAATAACAAGAATGAGAAATTAATAATACATGAATGCACAATTGAATGAATACAAATAATAATAATAATGTGATCTAAACGTTTAAGTAAATAATATACTCAATTCATAATTGACAGTACATTGCCCAAATACTGTCACCATGACTTGATCGCATGCTCAGTGATTATATTAAATAATTGTTCATATACCATATAAAAACAATTCCAGTTGTATTTCCTAAGCCATAAACACTTTCTTCCATGGAACACAAAAGAGGTATTTTGCAGAATGTGCAAGACTTCAATTTATTAACAGTTATCATATGACTTAATGCAACTGGGCAGCAGTTTTCTGTGCAAGAAAGAAAATCATACAGGTTTCAAGCAATATGAAGGTGACGGTGTGCGAATGAAGACAGAGAATTGTGAATTTACTTACTACATTGTTGATAAATCAAACAATTAAATAACAATTAAAGTCTGAACTTACATTATGCATTGTGTTTGCTAGAGATTTGTGTGCAAATAATTAAATACGACTGGAGAATAATTTTTTTAAAACACCATCCAATAGAGAAGTTCATGATAATCTTCTAAAACTAGTTTCCACAGCCTTGTATTTACAAGCACTGCTAAACTGTGACCTAGGGCTGAATTCAACTTTCGAATGAGTAACACTGTATTGCCACCTAGTGGGGAATTACTATCACCATATTTTAAGAAGATTTTTTTTTTTTCATAATAAAAAACACAATGAACATTTTCCACGTTTTTGTGCTACACTGTTTTTGTGAAATGCACAATGCATACTTGTTTAGGGTACATATCATAAAAAGACAGAACATCAATACATCCAAAAACATGACACATGATACGAACAAGGCATTGAGACAGCAGGAATGGCAGTGTTGTATGGCATTTAGATCCAAGAATAAACTATTTCTCCCCTATAGGTAAAAAAAAAATATTACAAACAATCATCTTTAAAATCTATAAACATTTTAAGAAAATTGATTAAATGTAAAAATTGTACAAAGGAAGAGCTGACATGCGATTAAATTAAAGATGAATGGTGATACCATTACAAAGGAAAATCAAAGTTAAAACAAATATAGCATGTCTGAATACATGTAAAACCTGCAGAAATGCCAACAAGACACTGTTGTTGAGTTACCAACCTACTGAAATCATTGCAGTAAGTTAAAACTATGCTGAAATTCAGCTTGCCTTCATACCAAATACACACCACGACTAATAAAGGGTTTGTGATCACAGCCCTCTAAATATCCATCTATGCACCAAAAATCGGTTCAAACGTTCAAGAACACGTGAACTAATCCAACTTACATCTTTTTTTTTTTGGATTTCTTGTTCTGAATCCTGCGTTAATGCGCTCAGTGACTGAATGACACTGTGAATTATGAAATGCAAAACAAAAAGTCCTTTTGTTTACGTTTGTAATTCCAAGAAAAAGTTTTTATTCTTCAGTCTCTCCTCTTCCTCCACCGCCGCATGTGCATCATGTAGGTCTTGGAGAATACTGAAGAGATTTGATAGTCCATCTGCTTTCTTCTGGTCTGTAAGATCAATGTATAGATATCAGGAGAACAAATGGTTCATTAAATGGAAAATACTGTGGTTATATATTATTATAGTATTTTCCTCAAAATTCATTTTAAGTTTTAAAGTCCCCCTGTAGACAGTCAATAACTGTATCCTTTAAAACTCATCTTTGATCACCAAAATTACATATTTAAATGTTTTTTTATTTCTTTGTGCCTTAAAATAGCTTGATTTTAACTCTACACCCTTGCCTCATTTAGTATAGGCAGATCTATGAATATGTAGATTAGTCCCGCCTCCACTCACTCACACCAGCTCAGAGATCGATTTTTATTTCAGTTTTAATAATTTTAGCAACGCAATTTATTACTAATAATAATTGCCACATAATAATTCACATTTCACAAAAACAATTAACATCGAGACACAAATAAACCTATATTACCAAAAAATATGAACTATGCTTATAATAGGCACATTTTTATAAGACCAGTAGACCACATTAAGCAAAAATGTATCATTAAGTCCAATAGGTATAAGAGTTTGAAGAGGTTCAATCCAGGAAAGCAATTCACAATTTATTTGTGGGGATTATTATTACTAACAGATGTCACAGTACTATACTGAGTACTACACAGTACTTATAGACTTTTATAATGCAATTTCATCCAACACACATACAATTGATTCAGGTGTGTATGGCACTCTATATAGGAGTACTCCATCTTAAAGTGTCTCTATTATACGTTTTCGGATATTGCCTTTTATTTAGTGTGTTATATATGGTATTTATTGGCTGCCAGTGTACTGTAGTAGTCAAACACTGTAGTTGTAGCTGAAGCCTGGAAAAGTTTGGTTTTAGAAAACGTTGTTTTCTGTGCTGTGAAAGCAAATCCACTTAGCATGCACTTCCAAAGGATGAGCATGCTCAAATTGATACGGTAAAACCAACGGCATCATTACTGTTCATATCACTGTGTATTCAATTGCTGAGGAAGCCTCGGGAGCTGAAATTCAGATATGGTAATTGCCGTTTCATTTCCAACACATGCTGTAAGCGGTAGACCAATCACAACAGACTGGGCCATCTGACCAATCAGAGCAGAGTAGGCTCTCGGAAGGGACAGGTTTAGAGAGACTGAATCCTTTATATCATTTTTTTCAGACACTGTGAGAAAAGAGGTGATGCTGCAATATGTTTTTGACATTGGATGCATGTAAACCTATTGTAGGAGACCTCCAAAACAAAATTAGGAAACTTTAAAATAACATAATAGGGGCACTTTAAGTTTTTCATCTAATATTTATACTTAATGATAACATCGCTGAAAGAAAAGCAGGAAGGGACATGCCACTGAGGTGTCCGGCAGACTTGATAACTTACCTCTTACTGAATCTGCCTCCTGAACTCCCTGCTGCTCTCTCAACTTAAAATACGTATCTCTGCAAAAAAGTACAAAACATCATTTATAGATGGCCTGGACCTATAGGTAATTTGCATGGATTTTACACAAATTTAGAAGTTATTACCAAGCTGACATGTACCGTATGTTGAACTGCTATGTATAATTTGATTCTATTATTCTATTATTGTATAGAATTATGTGCTTGAATCAATCATTTCAGCTGTCATAATTAAATACACAGGCCCGTTATGTTAATGCAACATTACCGCATGGCATGCTGGACACTACTGAGATGTTGGTAGATGAGCTGAGCCTCCAGGTCTGGGTCCAGTGGGTCATACCACTCCTGCAGAGTTACTCCATGTCTGGTTTTATCACAGCCTTGGTCTATGAACAAAGAGTTCATCAGTGCAGTTCAGTAAGATTTTAAACAAATATATATATACTTTTATTTTGCAGGGATGCATTAAATTGATCAAAAGTGACTGTAAAGACATTTAAAATAAGTCTATAATTGTCACGTTTCACGTAGCAGTGAAAATTAATACAGAGAGCAGCGAAAGGGATCCTTAAACCAGCAGATTAATCGAATAGCTCACAGGAATCAACAGGAGAAACAAAAGACAGCATAACAGCTTGCATTAACACAAGAACAATAACCGACAAACCAAGAAGGCCAACACAGCACTATGGGTCCTTCTCAAAGAGAAGGCTGCGTCCATTTTGAGGACCAGTCCTTTTGAGGCTTCTTAGGCTAGAATCCTCCTCAGCAATGAACACCTGAATGAGACAGTCTAGTAAGTGCGCATGGCGACGTCACACATGTTCCCGCCCCCATGGTCACGGCATGCAAATACTATTTAAACTTAATTTTGAAAAAAATACTTTGTATTAAATCTTTATATTAAAGACAAGCGTCTGTGTTCTCCCAGTAGCTTACATTATTGGCAGTTTAGTGTTAAGTGATTAATTTACACCAAAAAAAAGATACATTTCATAATGAACTCAGGCGAGCTCAGTGCCGACTCGTTTTTTCCGACAGTTCTTCTTTTCGTGAATTGGAATGTGTGCAAAGGATTGTGGGTGATTGAAGGACGAGAAGGCTACGCTCGATGCATCCTTCAGAATGAGCTGAATGAAGGACACGAAATGAAGGCTGATTTCCAAGGATCTACAGCCTTACTAAGGGTTTACACGACAACGATATGCTTAAAACTGAGAAGTTTTTCCTTTGAGTTTTCCGTTTACAGGCGACACCATTGTCAAAACGATCCCCATTCACACGCGCTAAAACGATTAAAAACGCTGTTTTCTGCTGCCAGGCCATTAGATGGCGATGAAACACTATAGACTGAACATGTAATACGCACTTCCATGACTCGTGTTTTTTAATTATTTAAACGGAGACCGTTTTTTTAAAAACTTGCACTTTGAAACCCGTTTTCAAAAGTTTGCGTTTTTTAGCCACCCTAAACGCTGTTGTCATGTAAATGAACGGCCAAAACGCATAAAAAGTTTTACGTTTTTACTTTTTAGTTGAAAATGGTTTTGTGTAAAGAGCCCCTGAGATGCAGTCTTCTGTTTGAGAAGCACCCTATATATATAAGAAACTAAACAAGAAACAGGTGGCAAACATAATCAGTAGCCATGGAAACTAACAAGACAATCAGAAAGCAAGGGAACTAATGAGACCAAAACTTAAACCCAAGAAACTAGAGGTGTGTTCAACTTGAAGCAGCGCTGCACAGACTGATCTTTGTATGACATCAAAGTAGCGATTTGAAAGCATACAGAGCCGCCTGCTCTCTAATTGTTCTCGCGGTACTTTAATGTCATACACAGATCGGTCTGTGCACACCTTTCTATTATATCTTTCTAGTCATATCTTTCTATCTATAAGATTTCTATTTCAAATAAATCCTGTTCTTTTAGTCTTTTTATTCATCAGAGAATCCTGAATGTCATGGTTTTTACAAAAATATTAAGCAGCACAAGATTTTTCAACATTGAAATTAAAAATAGGAAATGTTTTCTTGAGCAGCAAATCAGCATATTAATAATTCATTACATTTATATAGCGCTTTTCTAGGCACTCAAAGCGCTTCACATGGAAGGGGGAATCTCCTCAACCACCACCAATGTGCAGCATCATGTGCAGCATCCACTTGGATGATGCGACGGCAGCCATATTGCGCCAGAACGCCCAACACACACCAGCTTACTGGTGGAGAGGAGACAGAGTGATGAAGCCAATCAGTGTATATATATATATGGGGATGATTAGGAGGCCATGATGGACAGAGGCCACTGGGCAAATTTGGCCAGGATGCCGGGGTTACACCCCTACTCTTTCGAAAGACATCCTGGGATTTTTAATGACCACAGAGAGTCAGGGCCTCGGTTTAACGTCTCATCCGAAGGACGGATTAGAATGATTTCTGAAGGATCACGTGACACTGAAGACTGGAGTAATGATGCTGGAAATTCAGCTTTGCCATCACAGGAACAAATAGCATTTCAAAGTATATTCAAATAGAAAACCGTTATTTTAAATTATAATATTATTTTACAATATTACTGTTTTCCTACTGTATTTTTGATCAAAAAATGCAGCCTTACTGAGCATAAGAGACTTCTTTCAAAAACATCTTACCAACCCCAAACTGATCACAAGCCTGGCTTGCTTGTACATCATCTAATATTTGCAGTACCTGATTTCTCCTTCTGATGGCAGCAGCTCCATCTGTCTGCTTTATAGATGCCAGGATGATAGCAGCTCATAGTGTTTGTGTTGTGACTGCAGGCTTTCCTCAAAGCTGACAGCCAGTGATTCAACTCATTTACACTCTACAGTCACACAGAGAGACAAAGAGTATAAAACAATGAAACAATGAGACATCAAATATCCTATTTGAGGTTTTTTTAGGGCCCATTCTTACAATCTCAACAACAACAAACATATCTGAGTCAGTGTCTATGAATAGCCACATTCACATTTTATTTGTGAATCCAGTGCAATACTAACTTTGCAGTCGAGGTACAGGGTTTCCTGCTGGCCCGAGTCTTCGCTTGAGATAATCTGCATGACGTTGGCATTACCGAAGCACTTCTCCTCCACCTTCTCTACCGCCCGGATCTTTGGCAGCGAAATAGACGAGCTCTTCTACAGATTCAGAAACCAGAGCCTGCTTAACATGTCTTATACTGTATATATGGGTGTTTCTATAGACTTTTTTTGGCACTTTTACAAAATAAGCTTATATTTCATCTAAATCATGCTCTTCACTGACATAGCCATGTTTCCGTCCTCCTATTTTTGCATTTTGGGATATCGCATAAATAATGCTGGAATGAAACGCTAAGATGCGCATTCATTCTAAAGATGAGCATTAAAAAACGTATGCACTCACCCGAGACGGACTATTTTTTTATCCGATAAGAAGACACAAATCACAAGGAAACACAAATCCCTCAAAGCGCAACAAAAACCTCATGTGACTTTGCCTCAACAGTGGATGTGATCACATGGGACAGCATCTGACCCACAAGGCTATGTATCTGCACAGACCGACCTGAGGCCGGATCAACCCTGAAGGACTTGAGACCCTGGGGTTGATTCCATGTCCAGACTATAAAACATGAAGACTGTGTGTGTGGAGGACAGCACAAACATCTTGCAAGGATGCACCCCTAGCAAGAGCTTTGGAGGACGCAACACTCCTAGTTGAGTGGGCCCTAACTCTTAGAGGTGAAGCCATTCCGCGCGCCTCATAGGAGAGGGAGATTGTGTCAGTGATCCAATGAAAGATTCACTGCTTGGTGACAGCATTACATTTATTTTGGCCACCAAAGCAGACAGAAGCTGAGAGGACTTACACCACTGGCCTGAGCCGTGGATGTAGATCCTCAAAGCACGGACCACACATAGCAAATGCAGCCTTTCTTGCTCTTGTGTCTCATGAGGCGGAGGGAAGAAAGCCTGCAAGACTACTAGCTGACCAGCCATAGAAGAAACTTTTGGAACATAGTCTGGTCTGGGGTGCAGTATAGCTCTGAAACCTGGAGCAAAGTCTACGCAGGAAGAGGCTACTGGCTACTACAAGTTAAAAGCGCTTTATAAATGAAGGTGACTTGACTTGACAAGTCTCATACTCTCTTAATCAAATACTAGTAAGTGAGTAACTTTAAGAGTCAGCATTTTTTCAGAGACTGACTCCAATGGCTCAAATGGTGCTTCTGCTATTGCTCCCAGGACCAATGCTAGGTCCCAAGAAACTTGTGACCAACAGATAGACCTCAGCCGTCTGGCATCTCGCAAGAGCCGAGATACCAGAGGATGTCTCCCAATAGAAGCTCCATCCAAAGGTATGTGGCTAGCTGAAATGGCAGCCACATATACCTTTAGTGTAGCCGGTGTCCAACCCGTTGAAAAACGTTCTTGAAGGAACTCCAGCACTGAACCAACAGGACAGTTGACTGGGTTCAGGTGGCGCTGCTCACACCAAGATACAAAGAATCTCCATTTTAGGGAATACAGCTTGTTGTAGGGGCTCTATAATTCACATATAAACATTGATCAGCGAACACAAACAGAAGCTCAACCGAACCTGCTTGACGCACAAAAACGTAACACGTGAGAATGAACCTCATTTGTTCTTGCGGAAGCTCAAATGTGGTGCATAACACACGAGAATGAACCTCATTGGATCTCAAACATCAAGCGAACATGCTTGAGCTTCTGTTTACCACAACGGACGCGTGAGTTGATGAATGTTTATTTGTGAATAGAAGACTAAATTAAATCTATTTATCATATAAAGCGATTGAGACTTCAGAAAATTTGGACTAAACCGCTCAATTCATATCGATAAGTTTTACAATCTCTTTATGAACTTTTTGAAGCGTCAAAGTGGTAGTTGCGTAGCTGTCAATGGAGGGACAGAGAATTCTCAGATTTAATCAAGACTTCATTTGTGTTCTGAAGATGAACAAAAGTCTTACGGGTTTGGAACGACGTGAGGGTGAGTAATTAATGACAGAATTTTCGTTTTTGGGTGAACTATCCCTTTAAAAGTCAAGCCATCAGCGCTTCCTACCTTAGAGTGTTGCGTCCGCGAGTAGGACAGAGTGTCTTTACTAAGCGTGACATAGTACTTCTTAAAGGGTGATGTCATGGGCATACACTTGTCCTTGGTCCTGTGGAGTAAGAGGAAGCCTTCTTTCTCCATAGTGCCACACTGTAGGCTCATTCGTGTCTGAAGCTCAAGATCTGTTTTAAATATAAAGCAAAGAGAGAGAGCAAGACAAGTGAATAAAATCAGGGTCTTGACTGTCTGCTCCATCTCTTAAGGGTCTGTTCATTTTTGGGTGAATTATTACACGATAAAACCTGCTGCTTCAACAAGAAAATTAAAAAAGATGAAAAAAATGGAGATTAATTATCTAAAGATTGATCAGATATGACAGGTATGAATGAGTCTCCAGCCATGCATGGGGATCCACTCAATTTTTCATCTAATGACTAATTTAGAGCAGCTCACCCTCTGACTCGTGGCAGTTGACCAGTTTTGTGATGAAGTCTTTGAGCTGGGTGATGCCTTGCTGTATGGCTGGCTGCAAACAGACCATCCATGGCTCTTTAGAGCAACATGCGAGAGTGTCCATATTCCCAATGGTCTGCACAGCCTGAGGAAACACACGAGGAAGTCACAATGACGAAAGAGGGATTATGTTAACCATAATTGGGTCTATGAATGTATGCAGGTCATAATCCACGACTATACTGTGACCTAAATAGTTAACGTTATTGCGACAGTGAGTGCAAACCCTTATTCTCAATTAACTGAAAGGATCTGAGCTTGATTTGTGTTACGTTAAAGACATATAACAGCTGGACAATGCTACTCTTTTCGGCTAATATGTTACTAGTATTCACAACAATGGTTTCCTTGAAAACTGGTCATACTTTGGCAAGTAGCAGGAGTGTGCGGCTCGTACGGGCATCAGCATGTTTCTCACGCAGGTGAAATAATTTTGGAGACATGATGGCAGGTGAGATGAACCGCAGACACAGGAAGCTGGTCACAGCAATGAACTTCACCTTCTGAGGAAAAATATACAACCAGGTGATAAAAAAAAACGATGATCTAAATGTTTTACCTTTATAATGGCATTTTTCTAACCTAATTAAATGAATGTGTGATCATTTGTCAAATTGTTAAATTTAATTAATAAATTATATTAGAATATTAAGACACTAGGGACTAGGGCTGTTACCAATCAAATGAAACCAGTATCCTACAAAATACATCTTTGAATGCATGAAAGCATAATACTTCAATTACAAATTCATAAATGTTACGAGAACAATGTTTTAAATATAAAAAAAAAAAAAAAAAAAAATGTAATTATACTTTTAAATATGAAACTAAAACCATCAGTAGGTGGCGGCAAGTCGCTGTCTTAATGAGCGAGTCATTAGCTGTGTCTCATTTTGAAATTTGAAATGAGACACAGCAGTTGAATATTTTTTTTCAACTGATTTGTTCAAAATGGCTGATTCACTCAGGAATGAAGCAAGTGCCTGTCTTAATGAGTGAGTCATTGAATTATTCACTCAACCGATTTGTTCAAAATGGCTGATTCACTCAGGAATGAAGCAAGTGCCTGTCTTCATGAGGGAGTCATTGAATTATTCACTCAACCGATTTGTTCAAAATGGCTGATTCACTCAGGAAGGAAGCAAGTGCCTGTCTTCATGAGTGAGTCATTGAATTATTCACTCAACCGATTTGTTCAAAATGGCTGATTCACTCAGGAATGAAGCAAGTGCCTGTCTTCATGAGTGAGTCATTGAATTATTCACTCAACCGATTTGTTCAAAATGGCTGATTCACTCAGGAAGGAAGCAAGTGCCTGTCTTCATGAGTGAGTCATTGAATTATTCACTCAACCGATTTGTTCAAAATGGCTGATTCACTCAGGAATGAAGCAAGTGCCTGTCTTCATGAGTGAGTCATTGAATTATTCACTCAACCAATTTGTTCAAATTGGCTGATTCATTCAGGAATGAAGCAAGTGCCTGTCTTCATGAGTGAGTCATTGAATTATTCACTCAACTGATGTGGATTCATTCAGCACTGCTGTTTGTTGCTAAATTCACTTATTTCCAAACCTGTATGCCTTTTTTTTGTATGTGGAATGCAAAAGAGGATATTTTGAACTCTTTTGAATAAAAGTCAATGGGGTCTAAAACAACACCGGACACCGCTGACTTTTATTGTATGGATACAAAACAGAGACATTTGTTTTAAAAAATCTGCTTTTTTGTTCTGCAGATGCGAGAAAGTCATACAGTCATACAGGTCTGGAATGACATAAGGTTGAGCAAATGATGACATTATTTTTTATGTTTGGGTGAACTATCCCTTTAATGTCTAATTTTAAAAGGGTCCAAAATAGTCCACCATTGAGTCTGCGTGATATTCTAAAGTTTGAACCTGTCCTTGTAAGTCTATGGGATTTTTCTGGACACTTTTTATTTTTACCAGGCAAAAATTGGATGGTATAACAGATGAAAACTGGACATAATTACGTTTGTAGTTAACTGTTGGGACACTAGGACACACCTTGTGAATTCAGAATGTCCCGGTTGACCCTTATATAATGGTATATAACCCCTAAATAATGTTTATGAAAAATGAATATCACTGACCCGGTACTCTGGGTCAGGGAAGCGTTTCTGCACTCTGAGGTAGAGTTGATGGAAAGCCTGGCAGATGAGCAGCGGGCAGTAGGAGGCCGACTGCAGGATGGAGGTGAGCAGCTCAGACAGGTACGACTGCAGGAGGCTGGAGCTCTGCTGAATAATATCAGACTCAGTCTGCTGACGGTGCAAACCTGCACACCTGTAATACCAGAAGACCCAGGAAAAATTCGGAGAAATTTACTTTTTGAACCATAAAAATGTCAAATGTAACCATTAGTCAAAGTTGTCTTACCCTGCCTCTTTCAGTTCTACTTTACTGGGGTCCAGTTCCACATATTTCTTTTCTTCAAATATTCGGTTTATTATGGGGCCCAGAAGCCTGTGCAGATACTGCATCCCAGCCACCTGCAGTGAGAAAAATGAAGACAATATTGCACATAATCAAATCATGAAAACTGGAATAAAATCTAATAAAACAGCAGGAGGTTTAAGCTGGTTAAATGTAACAATAAAGTTCAATTGAACAATAAATCCAAATTAACCCTATTTTATTTCTCAATGCATGTTCCTGGTCTTGATTCTGGTCTTGAATATTTATTCAACAATATGTTTATGTGTGTCTTTGCAATCTTTTCTCTAAATGTAAGATGGTCCCTTTCTATCTAAGTGGGCAGTTCTTGGCTAGAATAAATAATGAGGATCAAACTTTATGCTGCAAGTCAAAAGTCTGGCTTTCATATTCACTTAATTAAAAGATTTCTGAACACATGCAACACAAATTAGGGTGACCAGACTTCCTTGTTTTCCGGGAACAGTCTCGGTTTTTGCCATATAACAGGGCCTGAATAGGGCGTGGGACTGTTTTGCACACAATTCTAAATGTTCCCAAATTTAACTTAAAATACAAAATAATGAGCCTAATTTGGGATACACAAACATATATATTTTTAAAGTTTAAAAAAGTGGTATTTACAGTATACAGTATATTCACTGCACTTGAGTCCTCACACCTTTTTGTCTTGCCCATTCCGTGACATAACGATCCGACCTAATGGGGACTCAGCGGAGAAGAGGGGCTAAGCCAGAGACTGTTCACGTCACGTCTGCCCAGCCAGAGACTGTTCACGTCACGTCTGCCCAGCCAGAGACTGTTCACGTTCCGTCTGCCCAGCCAGAGATTGTTCATGTCACGTCTGCCCAGCCAGAGACTGTTCACGTCACGTCTGCCCAGTCAGAGACTGTTCACGTCACGTCTGCCCAGCCAGAGACTGTTCACGTCACGTCTGCCCAGCCAGAGACTGTTCACGTCACGTCTGCCCAGCCAGAGACTGTTCACGTCACGTCTGCCCAGCCAGAGACTGTTCACGTCACGTCTGCCCAGCCAGAGACTGTTCACGTCACGTCTGCCCAGCCAGAGACTGTTCACGTCACGTCTGCCCAGCCAGAGACTGTTCACGTTCCGTCTGCTCAGCCAGAGACTGTTCACGTCACGTCTGCCCAGCCAGAGACTGTTCACGTCACGTCTGCCCAGCCAGAGACTGTTCACGTTCCGTCTGCCCAGCCAGAGACTGTTCACGTCACGTCTGCTCAGCCAGAGACTGTTCACGTTCCGTCTGCCCAGCCAGAGACTGTTCACGTCACGTCTGCCCAGCCAGAGACTGTTCACGTCACGTCTGCTCAGCCAGAGACTGTTCACGTTCCGTCTGCCCAGCCAGAGACTGTTCACGTCACGTCTGCTCAGCCAGAGACTGTTCACGTTCCGTCTGCCCAGCCAGAGACTGTTCACGTCACGTCTGCCCAGCCAGAGACTGTTCACGTCACGTCTGCCCAGCCAGAGACTGTTCACGTCACGTCTGCCCAGCCAGAGACTGTTCACGTCACGTCTGCCCAGCCAGAGACTGTTCACGTCACGTCTGCCCAGCCAGAGACTGTTCATGTCACGTCTGCCCAGCCAGAGACTGTTTACGTCACGTCTGCCCAGCCAGAGACTGTTCACGTCACGTCTGCTCAGCCAGAGACTGTTCACGTCACGTCTGCCCAGCCAGAGACTGTTCACGTCACGTCTGCTCAGCCAGAGACTGTTCACGTTCCGTCTGCCCAGCCAGAGATTGTTCACGTCACGTCTGCCCAGCCAGAGACTGTTCACGTCACGTCTGCCCAGCCAGAGACTGTTCACGTCACGTCTGCCCGTTCACGTCACGTCTGCCCAGCCAGAGACTGTTCACGTTCCGTCTGCCCAGCCAGAGACTGTTCACGTCACGTCTGCTCAGCCAGAGACTGTTCACGTCACGTCTGCCCAGCCAGAGACTGTTCACGTCACGTCTGCCCAGTCAGAGACTGTTCAGGTAACGTCTGCCCAGTCTGAGACAGTTCACGCTCCGTCTGCCCAGTCAGAAACTGTGCACGTCCCGTCTGCCCAGTCTGAGACAGATCAGGAGATGCCCATTTGTGTGGCCGCCAAGGCACTTATGGACTATTTGGAACGTCTGGCGCGGATCCTGGACATGCTATTCCCGAGCCGGAGCCAGTGTCTGCCGTTCCAAGGCCGGAGCCTGTTCCTGAGCCGTTGCCTGTTCCAGAGCCAGTGCCTGTTCCAGAGATAGAGCCAGTGCCTGTTTCAGAGCCAGTGCCTGTTCCAGAGATAGAGCCAGTGCCTGTTTCAGAGCCGGAGCCAGTGTCGGTTCCTGAGCCGGAGCCGAAGCCAGTGCCTGTTCCAGAGTCAGAGCCAGTGCCTGTTCCAGAGCCGGAGCCAGTGTTTGTTCCTGAGCCGGAGCCAGTGCCTGTTCCAGAGCCGGAGCCAGTGTATGTTCCTGAATCGGAGTTAGCGTCTGTTTCTGTGTTTGTGTCTGTCCTAGTGGCCGTTGCTGTTCTGGTGGCTGTTCCTGAGCCGGAGACTGTTCCTGAGCCAGAGCCAGTGCCTGTTCCAGAGCCAGTGTCGGTTCCTGAGCCGGAGCTGGAGCCAGTGCCTGTTCCAGAGTCAGAGCCAGTGCCTGTTCCAGAGCCGGAGCCAGTGTTTGTTCCTGAGCCGGAGCCGGAGCCAGTGCCTGTTCCAGAGCTGGAGCCAGTGCCTGTTCCAGAGCCGGAGCCAGTGCCTGTTCCAGAGTCAGAGCCAGTGCCTGTTCCAGAGCTGGAGCCAGTGTCTGTTCCGGAATCGGAGTTAGCGTCTGTTTCTGTGTTTGTGTCTGTCCTAGTGGCCGTTGCTGTTCTGGTGGCTGTTCCTGAACCAGTGTCTGCTCCAGAGCCGGAGCCAGTGTCTGCTTCAGAGCCGGAGCCGGTGCCAGTATCTGCTCCAGAGCCGGAGCCAGTGCCACTGTCTGCTCCAGAGCCGAAGCCAGTGCCAGTGTCTGTTCCGGAGTCACTGCCCTGGTCACCCGAGGGGTCTTCACCGCCCTGGTCGCCCGAGGGGTCTTCACCGCCCTGGCCGCCCGAGGGGTCTTCACCGCCCTGGCCGCCCGAGGGGTCTTCACCGCCCTGGCCGCCCGAGGGGTCTTCACCGCCCTGGCCGCTCGAGGGGTCTTCACCGCCCTGGCCGCCTGAGGGGTCTTCACCGCCCTGGCCGCCCGATGGGTCGTCTGCTTCACCCTGGCCGCCCGATGGGTCGTCTGCTTCACCCTGGCCGCCCGATGGACTGTCTGCTTCGCCCTGGCCTCCCAAGAATAAGCGGTCTGTCCCTCCCGTCCCGCCCTGGTGTTTCCTTCCTGTCCCGCCCTGGTCTTATGGAGCGTCTGGTAGCCGCTCCGTAGGGAGGGGGTAATGTCACATGCCTGTCCTGTCTTGTGTTGCACATTGGTGTTTTGTTATTTTGGGCCATGTGCTCTTGTTGTTGTCTGATCCCTCCCCCTCGTTACCTGATTATTGTTTGAGTTCTTCCACCTGTCCCCTCTTGATTTGTTCCCTTCTTAAATCTCCTCTCGTTTGCAGTCTTTGTCGGATCGTTGTCTAATGTCTCCCGTTCCCCGTGATCCTCTGTTCAGGTTCAGTTGTTGTTTTATTTTTATTCATTGTGTTTTGCTTTGTGTTTGTTTATTTTATTATTAAAGTATCATTTTCTCCTGCACTTGAGTCCTCACACCTTTTTGTCTTGCCCATTCTGTGACAGTATATTATAAGTATATTTACCTTCAAAAATGATTCCATAGACTTGGATGCTAATGAGTTACTGCGGAACAGTGTGTTGGGTTCAGCTGAAAGACAACAACAACAACATCATACCATCAATTGGCATCACAGTGCACATAAGATGTAGAAAGGTTTTTGCTAATACAGGTGTAACCAAAATAATTCAAAATAAGCAGATAATTATATATATATATATATATATATATATATATATATGTGTGTATATACACACACACATATATATATATATATATATGTGTGTATATGTTTCTTATTTGCTTACTAGTCTTATCCAGCTCCAGTTTGAACAGAACATCCAAGAACTCCTTGACAAGCCCTTGACCCAAAAACAGCTTCACCAGATTATTAGCCACTTCCTGTCTGCTCTCAGCTGTAGTGGTCTCATCAATCAGCATGATGAAATCAGGCCAGTTTCCCTACAATTAACACAGTCATTTCAGTCAAATGAGGTTATGCTTAAATGAGCTTTAAATATATACACCACTGTGAGCTAAAACAATAACCCTTTTATCATAGTGAACATGCTTTAGTGTTTGTTTTAATTTGCAACATCATTTTACTCAAAATAGAATATTCTGTCATCATTTATTCACCCTCTTCTTTATACCCTGTATGCCTTTGGAACACAAAACATACGGAAAAAGAGAACATTTTATAGAATATTATCATACTGGTTTGAAACAACACACTGTAAGGATGAGTAAATGATGTGAGAATTTTTTTTAGGTGACCTGTCTCTTTAACATTTGCAGGCATGAGTAGAGTATCCATCACATGCATACAAATGAGATCAGATAACAGCGAGTGCTGCATTTCGCAATCCATACACCGAATTATGTCTTGTTATCTTGTTACGAGGAATATGCCATGTGAATTCAAGAGATAATGCACAGGCATATTCCCTGAGATAAGGCTCAGTCCAAATGGCACCAGACTCACGTTGAGCTGAGAGCCGACCGACTGGCTGAGTAGCTCTGTGAGTGGCTTGTAATGGCTGGATGGCAACACAACCTCGTCTCGAAGCCGTAGCTGAAGCCGGAGAGAACCCAGAGTTCCTCTAGGAAAGAATCGAGAAACGCAATAATACTATATTAGGTTTCTGACATACTGTACAGCTCTTCCTTTTTCCAATTAAAATGTGATTTTACCCATAAAATGCCCATAACCTGTAGTTTCACATAAGAAAACATTACTCATAAGGAAGAAAACACAGTGAAACCTTTCCAGGAAGTAAAGCACAGCGTGGGAGACAAACAATATTAGGCAGAATGACTCCATTAAGGACCCTGTTCTGTTCAGCGATACGTAAAAAGACAAACAGTAAATGTTATTACTGTAAATGTGGGTGGCTGTGTTTTCTAACTCTGTCATGATGGAACAGAAAATGAGGACACCTTGGCAACCCAACTGAAAAACAATATTGAGGCAAGCATTTAGAGACAATTTGGCTTCAGAAATGGATGAAGTAAAAATGGCTCTCGGCTACAGCTGTACAATCTATACAAGCTCTACTCGCAAACCCTACTGTTCACGTAGGCAGCATCCGAATGGTCTTAAACTAATAAATGACTGATCTGAAACACTCAATAAGCAGAATAACTACACAAATAAAACAATCCACAGTTTTATCTATACACAACTCAACTGATTTCAATAGACACTAACTGTATGATGATGAGGTAATGGTAAAATACTCAACATATTACATACTAATATTAGGTAGCAGTTAAATAATCAGTTTAATTAATAAATTTTGGAGTAATATTAATATATTTGGTTCATGACAAGTGTTTTAGCATGTTAGGCAGGTGGAGCTAGGGGAGGTGGGGGGTTTCAGAGGAACATGTATATGTATATTGAGCATGTAATCCCATTGGCTGAGAATCAGCAGAGGCCAATCAGCTTGTGCCGTGTAATAAATGATTGCTAGCAGATTGCATGTAAAGAACGCCATAGTTTCATGACTGAACAAGATATTTAAATATTTTATGAATACTTTTAGAATTGCGTTCAATTAAACAATTTTACAATGAATAATAAGTTAATTTAATACTATTCATAAATGCATTTATAATTAACATTTTGCTTGTCTCATCCATTGGATTTATTTTTCTACAGAGCAGTGCATTCTGGGATTCACTTCTCCATGAAGGATGATACATATATGATGCTGTGTTAGAATTTGGCCAAAAGATGTTATTTTAGAAAATTGCATAATTAAAGGTATAGGTCATCCAAAAATATACATATACATTTTTGGGTGAACTATCTTTCTAAGTTACATCTTATTATAGAATTACTCAAGACTAAAAAGAAAAACTCAATATGCACTAAGAAATAAGAATGATAATCTGAACATTGGATGAAGCCAAGTTCAAAATGATTGTTTATTGTGTTGATATATTACAGTTCAAGGTTTTTAACAATGGGAATTTGGATATCTCTGTTTATCACTCCATAATTTTTATTCCTGTCAATTTAAATATGGCACTACCTTGTTTAAGAATCATCTTAGAATTAAACGAGCCATTTTTTGCTAACATTTCTGTTCACTGATCTGAAGAACTGTGGGAACTTTTATTTCGAAAGATATAGAAAAATATATTTGTCATGATATGACTTACTTCAATGCATGTGGCGTTCCAAACATCTAAATATTATTTCGCAATGGAGATGATATTAGCATTAATATTATGTAACTTATACATTCAGTCACTCCATACGCCACATGCTCTCTCACTGTAAAGATGGGAAATACTCGAGGGAAGGTGGGAATTGGAAGAGAGTGTGTGTGTGTGTGTGTGTGTGTATGTGTGTATATGTGTGTGTGTGTGTGTGTGTGTGTGTGTGTGTGTGTGTGTGTGTGTGTGTGTGTGTGTGTGTGTGTGTGTGTGTGTGTGTGTGTGTGTGGCGAGTGCCACCATAACAGCCAGTCACTGAACAGCAGGCAACAGATGGTGGGCCGTCAAAAATCCCATCAGGAAGAAGACGGTGAGGGAGTGAAAAGAGGAGAAAGAGAAAATAAACAAAAACAACAACAGCTTGATTTGTTCACTGAGATGAGAGCGGATCACCCACGGGGAGCGAGAGATTATAGGAGCTTAATGGAAAACTTTTCATCAGGATGACATCAGAATGAAATAAAAAACAACAAAATTCTTACAGAAAAATCACTAATTACTTCTGGGGTATCCTCACGAAATATAAAAATAAGTTCATAACAATATCTCAGATGATGCAAATATATATAGGGACATGATTACTCCGAGATGATTATCAAACAGTGCTTTTTTAATGCATGTGGGCAAAAACCTAGAGTCAAATAATCCTTTGTTCAGGATTGGCCGTGACATTTTAATTCCCATCTTGTTTTTTTTAAATCTGGTCAGAGTAGAAAAAAAAGCAAAAACTGTTTAGAAGGAACAGATGGTTGTGCATCAGCATATTTAAGGCAGGCGAAATCTGCCAATTTTGAAAATAAAATTGCGATAACCTATTATATAATATAGTTTAGAATATTTACATAAAATATAATCACATGTAATAAAACAGTTATTTTAAACTGTGATACTATTTCACAATATTACGGTTTTATTGTATTTTTGATCAAATACATGCAGCCTAGGTGAGCATAAGAAAACAAACAAACAAACAAAATCTTACCAAACCCAAACTTTTGAATGGCAGTGTAGATTTAGCTCCATTTTTGATTTCTGGTAATTGATGCGTTTTGCAATGAATTGTCATTGTCAAATTAGATTCACAATGCATAGACACATTTTTACCATCATGTATGCCACTGTAAAGCATTTTGATAAAAGACTTTTACTAAATTAACCTGCATGTTCTGTTTGAGGTCTTAGAGAGCCCAAGGTCCTTTGAATAGCCCGAACAACTTAACTTTGAAGTATTAAAACTCAAAAACTTTTCCTAATCTTTCATATTAAGTCAAATTAATCAACAGTACATGGAATGTGTTACATTACTTTTGGTTTAGTGGCTTAATAATATCTGTCAAATTGGTTTAGATTAGGTAAAAGGATTAAATGACAAATTACAAGAGTTTGCAGAGAAAAAAAAAAGAGGTTAAAGTGATAGTCCACTCAAAAATGAAAATGTCATCATTTACTCACACTCATGTTGTTCCAATCGTGTATGACTTTCTTTCTTCTTTGGAACATAAAGGAGATATTTAAAAGAACGTTAGTTTTGACTTCTACTGGTCAAAAAATATAATGTAAATATGGGAACCACAAATCTTTGGTTACTAACATTCTTCAAAATGTTTTTTATACATTTTATGTTCCAAGGAAGAAAAAAAGTCAAACAGGTTTGGAACGACATGAGGGGGAGTACATGATGAATTCTCATTTTTTAGGTAAAACCAACCCTATAATTTTGGAATAAGTACTGTTATTTTTACACTTAAAATCCCTGCATGGGACCCCCAAACTTAAAGGAGTAGTTCACTTTTAAAAAAACTTTTGCTGATAATTTACTCACCCCCATGTCATCCAAGATGTCCATGTCTTTCTTTCTTCAGTCGAAAAGAAATTAAGATTTTTGATGAAAACATTCCAGGATTTTTCTCCATATAATGCACTTTACTGGGCACCAAACTGTCCAAGGTCCAAAAGACAGTTTCAGTGCAAACTGCAAACTGTTCAAAGGGCTTTAAACGATTCCAGACGATGAATAAGGGTCTTATCAAGCGAAACGATCGCTCATTTAAATAACAAAGTTTAAGTTTTATAAGCTCAAATGCCCGCCTTGCTCTGTTCTGTGTGACTCTCCTGTTCGAACTCGTTCATCAAAATGAACGAATCTTTTTTCGAGTCATTTGATTCATTTAACGAACGAAATGAACGAATTGACTCGGAAAAAGATTTGTTCATTTTGATGAACGAGTTCGAACAGGAGAGTCACACAGAACAGAGCAAGGTGGGCATTTGAGCTTATAAAACTTAAACTTTGTTATTTATTTTTTAAATGAGCTAACGTTTCGCTTGATAAGACCCTTATTCATCGTCTGGAATCGTTTAAAGCCCTTTGAACAGTTTGCAGTTTGCACTGAAACTGTCTTTTGGACCTTGAACCGTTTGGTGCCCAGTAAAGTGCATTATATGGAGAAAAATCCTGGAATGTTTTCATCAAAAACCTTAATTTCTTTTCGACTGAAGAAAGAAAGACATGGACATCTTGGATGACATGGGGGTGAGTAAATTATCAGCAAAAGTTTTTTTTAAAAGTGAACTACTCCTTTAAGGACAACGAAGTCAATCTGTGGCCCCAAACAAGTCCATCTCGGCAGTACATGAGGGTTAATCCGGAAATCATTGATAGTCAGTCCATGTATGCCCTAAATACAATCCTTTGGCCTTTAAGAAGATACGATTATGGAACGGTCCAACAATTTTTAGCAATATTAAAAAAAAGACTGTACTTGTGACGCTGCAATGCTGAAAACGTTTTCCTTTATCTGCCTCCAACATTTACACAATATTACACCTTGTCTACATAACACTGTGTAAAAGGTGCTCAAGCCTGATCCATATATCCGTGTAGATGTGGAGCTTGAACTACATGACTCATCGAAGGATTTGGACAGTAAATTCAATCAAGTCAAGTGTATAAATAAATGAACGACTGAACGAATGTCAATGACTCCTTTGCCCATGTGGACACAAGTCTGTCACACTGACACGCCGTGTACCCGAAAACACTTCCTTGCCTTAATCTACCTACAAGCTCTCAGATGACGCATAGCTTTTGTCATCATCACCCAACCGAATCCCCCGTACTGGAGTTTTTACATAAGCCTTTCCATCCCACTCCTCCTGCCAGCTTGAGATATAATCCCCACTGTCAATCCACGTGGCCAAATGATCTCTTATGGGTGGAGAGGAGGCCCGGGTGGAGGGGGTGACAGAGCGAATGAACAGAAAAAATCCCAGGATTTAGCCAGGGAAAGGATTAGAACTTCCTGTCAACACATGGACCAGAACACACAAGCGTAATGCTGTGAGAGCCTGAGGGAAGAGTGCGTAGCAATCCTCCAATGTTAGCTCAGACTAATTCCCAGGAACAGACTAGGGAAAGTTGCACTTTTTCCCCTTGTATTTTATTGTCCTTGTTCCATTTGCTTAATGTTCTCTTCCACAGGCAACCGTTAAAGGTGAAAACTTGTTGCTGTGGCAACCAAAGTTTAAGGTTTTGCTTAGGTGGTGTGCATATTTGCCACAATTCAAAATACACTCACTCATATTCACTGTGTTTAGATTTGTCAGGCCCTAGGCGAAACCAGCCCTCCTCTTGCTGGGCAGACTGAAGCTTGTTGATGTTGAACAGGACCTGAAGGAAAACAGAGGCCGCATACATCAATCGCCATGACAATTAGCTGTCAAAGCAACCGAAGCTAAACACAGCAATTGGAACATTTATTATTGGGTGACAAAGGCAATGTCACAGTGAACAGCTGTCAAACAGGCACAGACGCAATGTTATGAAACAGTGACTATGCTTGAATTATTTTGTTAACTTTGGGATATGCTGAATTGATAAGTTAAAAAAAAAATGAAATAAATAAATACATACAAATCACTGCAGTTTCCACCTGAAATGAACACTAAAGGCAGTAAAACAGCAAGTGCTTTTAGGTCTTTTCATACAAAATTATGATTACGGGGCAGATTATCAATGAACAAAGACGTATTTTCATGCGGTTGCTTGCACAATATTATATTATGACCTCAAAACACTTTTTACCATAGTAAATGATTTGTAAGCTAATACATTTTGACATTTGCACAACATAACCAGCTCCATATGTTTGGTTCCCTTTCGAATGGGAACTCTCACTCTCATGGCCCTTGTATATAAAATAACTCTATATTAATCTAACCTGCTGTGCGCTTATTGGTCGAAAACCTCTTTTTTATTACAATGTAAAAATATCAAATTATCTTGTCATTTAAAGGGATAGTTCACCCAAAAATTTAAATAACCCATGATTTACTCACCCTCAAGTCAACGTAGGTGTAAATGAAATTGTTCTTTCAGACGAATACAATCAAGAGTTATTTTAAAAAATGTCCTGGCTCTTCCAAGCTTTATAATGGCCGTGAATGGCTGTTTCTGTTTTGAAGTCCCCAAAAGTGCATCTATCCATCATAAAAGTGCTCCACACGGCTCCGGGGCGATGCGTTTGTGTAAGAAAAATATTCAAAGTAAAGTTCTAGCTCCCGGCCAAACGCAATCTACTTGCGCCCAGGGGCGGACTTAACCATTAGGCAAAGGTCGGCAATTGCCTTGGGCCCCGAGCTACCTAGGGCCCCTCAAAATGCCCCATTAAATTATGCTTAAGTTGTTTTTTTTTGGGGGGGGGGGGGGGGGGGGGGTTCGCAAATTATATATTTCTAAAAAAACATTTGCGAAAAAAAGGCATCAAATCATTAGTGTCGCAGACAGAAGGGCCCCCCCTCACCTCACTACATTGGACTATTCAATTATCTCACTTTCTGCGTGCGAAAGTGACTAGGCTGTAATGCGCAAAAAAAAACTGACAGAGAAAAATAAGTGATTGACAGACGGTGTACAGAGTGACAGACAGAGTGTACAGAGTAGTAGACAGAGTAAAAATGAAGCGAAGCTACCCAATCGGTGCTGAAAAACAGGAAGCGGGAGGAAAGCAAAACGTTTTTAGCAAAATTGCAGAAGGTAACAAACTTTTTTGTGATGCCCGCTGACAATGACAACAATATGTTACAAGTCCATGGTCGTAGCCAGCTATGAGGTCACCGAGGTCCGGACCTCTGTAATTTTTTTACATTCAAAAATAAAATGTCAAGTTCTCTGAATGATTAATTAGCCGTTTAAACCACCTCATATGAGTGTTTGCAGTTCATGTTGCTGCGAGAAGCTAGCGCAGTGAACGGGGCTTGAGAGCGCGTTGTGAGTGAGGGCGCGGGTGCAGCCTCCGTGTTGCCAGATCCACCTAATGGAAAGGTGGCAGTAGTCTTCTGGACCTGTTTTTCTGATTTAATGTGACACTTTAGGAAATTATTAAAGTGGAAAGTTGCATGTTAGGGTTAGTGATATATTAATCTTATTTCCAAAAACACAAGCTTTGAACTTATTTCGGATTATTATTACTAATTTGTTTTGTTTTTCTTGTTTTTCACAGCAATATCTGGCAACATTTTACTGTCGGCATTAATAAAAAAAAAAGCTTACAGACAAACTGTAATTGCATAAATCTATCACATTCGGTAAGACAAACGCAATGATCATCATGATTATCTGTAAGAAATGTATACACTATCAAAAACTATAGCATAATACAGATCTGTATGAATGAAATTTGCCAAATAACTTACTGGCCAGCAGGAAGACGGCTCATGCTGTTTAGTTAACCTTTCACAAACTCATCATAAAAACATTAATTAAAGCAGTGTTTCTCAACTAGCAATTTATTCAGGCAGCATATTTGTGTTTTGATCTGTGTGAATTACAGAAATATAAGACTTGCTAGACCTACTTTTTTCTATATTTCTTTGCACAAAACTCTCCAGAAAGTGCCTTTTTTTTTACTTTTTTCGTTCTCTTTTAAAGATCGGATGGGGGGCCCCATACTACCTTCGCCTTGGGCCCCCAATTTGCTAAATCCGCCATTGCTTGCGCCTAAAGCGCAACTTATGATGTTGGAACTTTATTACCCCGCCGGAGCCGTGTGGAGCACTTTTATGATGGATAGATGCACTTTTATGGACTTCAAAACAGAAACAGCCATTCACTACCATTATAAAGCTTGGAAGAGCCAGAACATTTTTTTTATATAACTCCGATTGTATTCGTCTGAAAGAACAAGGTCATATACACCTAGGATGACTTGAGGGTGAGTAAATCATGGACTAATTTTCATTTTTGGGTGAATTATACCTTTAAGTTACTCATGATGAGATTTCAGAGTTTTGAAGGTGAAGATTATCAGTGAATAACAACTTAAAAGAGCTGTATGACAATTAAAAAAAATTAAAAATTTGTGCTCCACGTTAAGTACATCAGATGAGTGTTGATCTTTCTTGTAAAACTAATATTAAACACGATATGTCTTACTTATTGTGTTTTATTCTATACTAAGACAAAGGTCAGCTTCAGAGCATGAGGAAATACTCTAGGATTTGCTAATGTCTATTCTGTGCAGTCACCTTTCCAAGGAAGTCGTTTCTGCTGACCAGATCCCAGTCCCACACCTCCACACTCAAAAGGCTGTCAGCCAGCGCCTCGTCCAGCTCAAACTCAAAACTCTCGTTCCAGCGTGGGTAACAGGACTTCTTAACCACCTGGAGGAAGCAGGCTCATGGAAATCAGTAACAGACCGTCAGTTCTAACTGTGTGGCAGAGCAAATCAGAAACTTACAGAGAAAGACCCTTACCGCACTCTCATGGGTTTTGCCATTGTACCTCACTCTAACAAAAGGATCAGAGGCCCCGTTGCGATCCTTTTTTGCAAGATCTCTAGAAACAAAGCCGAAAGTACATGAAGCTATTAGACACAAATCCAAATCTAGCTTATGAAGGTACAATCTCTAAAGCCTTATTCCAACAGTCTGATTCACTGAAATAAATGTTGTTTTCAATTCAAAATTTGTTGAACACATTGTCCTAGCATTTAAACTTCAAATTGTTGAGCCAGGTTATTTTCATGTAATCCTGAAGTATCTAGTTCCATATTTCACATCATTTATATTTGAACAAGGATTTTTGTGACACTGTCAATACTAATTGTCTATCCAAATGAATTTTGGTTGCGTTAATGATTATCGCAAGTGCATTCTTTCACCAATGCACCAATGAATGATTTGTCTAAAAATAAAACAAAAACGTTTTTTGTCATCATAACATGATGCACATTATGCATCTAGTATTTTAAAAACAACAAGTAAATGAAATATATGACCACATTTTTTGCGTTATTTTTTGTATTGCTGTTTAATATATAGGTAAGATCAACTAATGGATTGCCTTTATGCCATCTGAAAAGTCATTAAAAAGTAAACAAGAATTTTGCAATATCTGAAAAAGCATAATAGGGGCACTTTAAAAACCGATAATGAACCAGAATTGCTTAGGAATCGGAACCAGAACTTACATTTATTTTATTTTTTTGTTTACGATTCCCATCCATGAATCGATCAAATGCATTGATATAGGCTACTAATCACGAAAACATAACGAGTTTCCTGTCACAAATCATTTGCTGCTCCTCATAGTTCCTCACCTTGCCTCTAGGACTTGGCAGCACAGTTTCCGTGGGATATCTCCATCTCCCAGCGCAGAGATCTGGAGGTGAATCTCCCCTTGCACCTCCTCATCTGGGTCAATCTCTGTTAAGTTCATCCATCCATCAACACCTAAACAAAAAATGACAAGAAGCCGAAAATGAGAATTTATATATCTTCCATTGGTGTTGAAATAAATAATTTAGTGGGCTATCAAGTTATGGTGGGCTAAGTTGAAGAACAGGAACCCTAAAACGGTCAAGTGCACAGTGGGAGAGAGCAGGATTAAGAGCAGTATTATTATGGCTTCTGTATTCCCGTATCCGCAAACACACACAGTTGGGATAAAAATTGAATAGATCATGTCCCTCCTCAGAAACTCTAGCTTTAAGAGGCTTACGGTAATAGAATTAATGGCCTTGCTGTATTTCTACAGAATAAGCTTATGGTAGACCAAGAGTATTTACTGACATGTTGGATGTTCAATAATTGTGTTAAAATGTGAACAGACTGAGATTTAAGCTATTATTCAATGGAAATCTGCTCCGTTGTAGCTCTTAATTCTCACTCTCCATTCTGCTGTGTTGGAATCGGTCAGGTGACACACAAGAACGAGGATTTCAGAGTTTTAGAGAAAGAAATATTGACATAAATGGGGTATAAAACAAGGTATATTACATGCTTTCATAGAATTTGTATTTCTTTCCCTTAAGTCCATCTAATGTTAATGCTGGGCTCCATGCTTTAGTAACCCTCTGTATTTAGGAAATCGAGGGCTGCTGCTGTTGTTAAAGACCATTTTTAGTATTTTGCTGAAAGCTTGACTCAAGGACCATCAAACCACTCTGATTTTGCAGTGGCTATGTCTAAAATGGTAAAACTAGTTATTTTGGCTTCGATGATGTGGACATAAAGCTTGTTTATTCCTGTGGCCTAGTAGGTCGTTTTTTCCTCTCGATTAGTATTCCAGCGTATCACTCGTCAAGGTCCATTTTCCTTTATTGCTCTGGTGAGTAGCCCAAAAATAAATTCAGTCCGCCAAGAACAACTTTTCCATTTAGCTGAATGCTGATGCTTTCAATATATTTTGTGGAACTGAACGTGATTATAGCATCTGATGATACATGATACATTTCATATTTTTGTTTGAAGTTCAGTGAAATTTGTATCTTAAATATACCATACAATACTGACTGATTAAAAAACATGAATTTAAAGCAGACATCAAGCATTTAAGCAAAATGCTGTTTGTTGTTTCAAGATATTACTCAAAAGAAATATGTTGAAAAGAAAATGGAATGCAAAATCACTATAATAAGCAGCAAATAGTCTGAGATAGCCCATTCTTCAGTTCAGTCATCCAACCTCTGAAATTAAATGACAAAACATGACATGCATGCAGATGAATTGAACCAAAGTGCTAAAGTGAACCAAATAAAACAAAACAGCTCAACATTTTCTAGAAGCAATCTTTCTACAGATACAGTACTCATACAATAAGAAATGAAACACCAGTTAGAAAGCTTTGACTGACAGTCTCTTGACAGTTAAAGGTCTGCCTCATAAATATGTTCAAAAACAGTGCACCCCCCTCCCTCCCTCCCTCCCTCCCTCCACACACACACACACACACACACACGGCCAACCTTTAAAGAGTCAAGGTCTCTGCTTCAAACAGATGTTGAGCCACTAGCCAAAATTCTTTACAATAGAGTGCATTTTTCCTTCACCTGCACACACACAGGCTAAATGTTTAGAAAACAAAAAGTAAATAATAATAACAAGATTTTTATATTTTCTTCATAAAATGAGTGCCCTGTGCAAACGTTGCTTCCAAGATGTTAAATTGTTATGGGTGGTTTGCAAGGTGTCACAAATGGCCAGTTGCAGTAACAGCAAATATGATTTGAGCAGCATCTATTTGCAGCAGTTATTTTATTAAAGGCAAACTGAATGAAACAAAAGCACTCAGAATATCAAAATACAAAGAGAACAACCAGTATAAACAATATATATAAACACAAACCAATCAAAGAAACAAGAAACAGGTGTTACAATTTAATCAATCAATGAAAAACCCTGGAAAAAGACAAGGGAATCAAACAAGCATGCAAACCGGGAAAAACCAAAACTAAAACCCAGACAAGGAGAGGGCGGGAGGAGGCTTTGGAGGAGAATGTCCTCGAAATTTCACTATGGCTGTGGTACAACCCCGGACGAGTGAGGAGCCAGGGAGGAGTCAACGGCGGAGGAGCCAGTGTAACCATAGACATACATAGATGCCCTATTGGCCGCTTTGGAACGTTGCTGCGATACGTCAACGGGTCCGCCATTTTGCGGAGGGCAAGACTGTAATCAAATGTAAGTAAACGGGTGAGCTGCGTTTTTTCTGGATAAAAACAAACTGTTTTTACATTTATCAACCGATTTCAGTGGTTTGTATGTGGTGTCCAAAAAGTTCCATCTCTAGTTATTTAAAATCTCGATAGTTAGACTTGTAAAATATTTTTTTTTAATAAAGAATGGTCAAAGCTCAGGCTTGTCATGTATTTGGCTTTTTATTCTTGGATAAGAATGGTGAAGACCCCACATACTGAGATATAAGTTTTCTTATTGTGGAAAAAGTGTGATTTTCTGTGATTGACCAGATTTGAGCAATAACAAAGATAACTGATGGATCCTTTATGATAATACATATGTTATGGTACAACTATAGTGCAATGCAAATAGTAAATATAACATAAAGTGAGAAGTAATAGTAAATAGTCAATAAAATAAACAAATAGTATACAGCAAATAAAATAGTAATGAATTGAGTGCATGAGTACATTTACTTGAGTACAGTACTTAAGTACAGTTTTGAGGGATCTGTACTTTACTCGAGTATCATTTTTGGGGAGTACTCATGACTTTACTCAAGTACATTTGAGAGGCAAATATTGTACTCTTTACTCCAATACATTTCTATCCATAACCGTGAGTACCTGAGTAAAAAAAAAAAAAAGTAAAAAAAAAAGAAAAATCTCGGAAACCCTCAATTTGTTGTTTCCCTCTCAAACGTGATTGGATTGTGCAGGCGCCACTGATTGGGACAGCCTATCAGCAATCACTTCCAGCTTTCCGCCAAAGTCAACTTCATGGTCAGATTTTATATTACACATTAATGTAAGCCAAGCATTTGGTTTGATGTTCTTGAGTATGTGGTGTGTTTAACACAGATGTGGCAGTGGCATAGCCACGAGGGATTTCTGATTTCTTAAAAAAAAAACTTTAGGAGGCAAAATATATTTTTACTGATTATGTGAATTACACTGCGCAAACCAAAGTAGGCTACTACCCAGCGAATGAAGAAGGGTTGGCGCTCAGTCTCCACAGTACATAAAATATTAATTTTGTTTTATTTTATTTTTTGGGTTTGCATTTATGAGGAAAAAACAATGTTATGGACGTGTTCTCTGTTACGGACGTGAGCGCTCTGAAAGCGGCTTAAAAAATGCTTTAAAACTTTCACAGAGACATCAAACAGAAAACACAAAACCTTTCTTTAACCTGAATTTCGTTTTGCATTAATTGTATCTTAATTTTAATCAATGTTTCATCAACCAATTGCCTGGGTTTAATAAATAAGAAGTAAATAGCAGATGATAGATAAGAAACGGAGGCGCCGGCACGTGAACTGGATCTCGTCTCATAAATGAACCGAAACTCAGTGTATAAGGTAGCCTACTTGCCTCTCACAGACATGTCTACTTTTAAACAGAAAAATTCAAAACGAAAGAAAACAGACTACAGACTGCTCTCTGCTTATGTAATCCGTATGAAATGTGCATTTCTCTCTGGCGCGTTCACTACTGAAGATCGCGAGTCAGCATCGTCAACTTCATCTTAGCCGACACTGACAAAGAAAACACTTGTTTATTAACAAGTGTTTATTAATAAACAATTAAAATATCTCCTTGCTATATTTTACATATTCATAATCATTCCTTTTGCCGGTTCTTTGTGACAGCTTTTAGGTGCTTTATTGGCAGCGCCACCCTTACATGTGGTGTGTGTGTGTGTGTGTTGTCCCCACATTTAAGATGGGACCCCCCAAAAATGTAATTTAATTAAATAAAGCAACATGGTAAAAAGATGAAAATGACTTGATTTTACTTTCAATTCCTTTTACATTCTCCAAGGTATTAACATTAACATTTTTCATAACTCCATGTAGGACGTTTCTGTGCATAAATGTAAGCACTGTGGCAGTACATTAGTAATGCAATATTTAGAAAATTTACTCTTGTACTCTTGATACTCAAGTACTTTTAAAAACAAGTACTTTAGTACTTTTACTTAAGTAGACATCTGAATGTAGTACTTTTACTTGTACTTGAGTAAAATTTAGCAAGGGGTATCTGTACTTTTACTCAAGTAACAAAGATCTGTACTCTGTCCGCCTCTGATGAATAGTATAATTATATAATATCATAAGTACAATAATACAATCATAAAAATATTGATAATAGCATATAGTTTATTAATAGTACTATAGCAATAGAATAAGAAATATCAATTACAGAATATACACAATAAAAAAATAAGTTAAATAGTGACTTTAATATTTAACTCTTTTTTGTTAAATTTCAGTTTTATTGATCAGTAATAGCCATTATAACAGAAGTAGCTTCAGTCAAACATACAGCTGCAGGATACAACGTTAAAATAGCCTAAATATAAAGTTATGAAACTTCACTTTGCCCTCAGCCAAAACGATTTACCAGGGAACCATTTATAGATTAATGAGACCAAAGATCGCCCGTTAGATATACACAAGACGAATTATATCTCATGTTTAACCACTAGACTACAGACATCCGAGTCAGCGGCAAAACTTCAGAAGCACTGTCCGAGGTACGGCTGTTCCAGGCGGGGTAGACGAGCGCTGAGGCCCGGTGATAGCATCTTCCAACTCCGAAAGCGTCAGATCAAATGTTTAAATAGGCGCTATCTTTATAAACAAACCACATATTTGAGCTTTAAACAACTACATTGTCGACTGAAAAACTATTAAAACTACATTTCGTGACACAATAACAGTAGTATTTTTATATTGTAACCTCTGAACGTTACTATTACTAATTAAATCA